AGGACAAAAGTGAAATCCAACTGGGGAAGGCCTTTTATATTTAAGGGAAAAAGACAGAATGGATTAGAATGGAACTGTAACAGTTGCAGAAATATCAAAGGTGTGGGACCAAAGGTTCTCTTCTGATCTGAGGCTAGTTTAGTTTGAGTAAATCTGGTCTGGAACTGGGGCTGGCTTAATTTAGATTTTCTTACTTCAGGCCTACATGACTGCTTAGAGATTTTTAGCTGTTTTAAGAATCTGTCTGATTTGATTTAATTCATTTTTAAGATAATAAAAACGTGTGTGATGAAGTTCTACCTTCAAAAATTTACAATATTTATATTCTTTTAAGGGGACAAAGACAGTTTTGAGTTAACCCAGTAACTGTAATATTTCAGAAAATTGATTTTTGAAAAACAAATATCAAAAGCATACCTTCGAGGGCAGTTGGTTAGCTCAGGTGGTTAGAGCGCAGGCTCATAACACCATGGTTGCCGGTTCGATCCCCACATGGTCCAAGGAGCTGCGCCCTCCACAACTAAATTGAAGACAACTACTTGACTTGGAGCTGATGGGTCCTGGAAAAACACACTGTTCCCCAATAAAATTTCTTAAAAAAAAAAAAGTACCTTTGATGAGAATTTCTTTTTATTTTGATAGTTATTTTCAGAATACTGTCCAGAATTTTTTTGGAGCACCTTTTCTGACTTACCTTCTGCCCCTCTAGCACATTCTCTACAATTTACCTGTTTATTGAGTATCTGTTGTGTGCTGTTGGAGTGGGGAGCCTTTATAAAGATGAGTAAAACGTGGTCCCTATCCACTAGGAGTTCATAATCCCTCTAGGATGGCACAGTTACAAACAATACAGGGCATAATGTCATTCTGAATAGTCTCATTGGTGACAAATATATTTTCAGTTTGAAAGGTTTGAGTTTTAGAAATGCTGAAGATCTGTTGCTATCAAGTAGACTGAATAAAGAATAGTTTTGGTTTAAATTCATTTAGTGACAGAAATGGGAATTATTTTTGGGGGAGGGGGGCTGATTTTTATTGTTTGACTTACTAACTGACTTTGGAAAACACTCCTGGAGAGAAAGTTGGAAATACTTTGAACGCAGGTGACAGTTCATATGTAGTTAGTTAGGCACTAAGATTAGTGTTGGTTAAATGCATCGGATGGTTGGATGGAGAAAATAAGTGATAGCCTCCCAAGATTTTAAAGAGGACCATACTGATTTTAATATGTAAATAAATTCTGGGTTTGTTAATGTAGTAGTTTCATTACTGTGAACAAGAGAGTTTATGAGTAAGTTCTCAAATGAGTTTTACAGACGTAAAGTGCTTTAGAAGCTCAGAGAATGGAGAAATGAACACTGGCTAAGGTTTGGGGAAAGGATTTCAGTGCACCATACTTCAGCTAGATAGTTGAAAGGATTCCTTAGGGATCTCAGGAGAGGAACTAAATTGCTCCAAATTTCTCTTGCAGCCCTAGAATGAACCTAGAGTCCTGGTCTATTTTTGTCTGAATGCTTTCTTCCTATTTCATTTTCACTACTCCTACTGGTTTGTTCCTTTTCAAATCTACCTTTGCTGGGTAGAATTTGAGCCCTTTAGAACAACGGGGTGTGTGTGTGTGATGTGTGTGTGTGTCTATTTCCATGTATATCTAGTGTAACTTTTAGTTTTTTCTTTTTTGAGCCCGTACCCCACAATTTCTTGGTCTCTGTGAGTGAGGAGCATGAGTCAACTTGGCTTTGTTATTCTGGCATTTTCCTGCATGCTTTTCTCAAAGCTGCTTTCTGAATTACAGAACAGAATAGAGAATTGAGGGCATATGTCCAGTAGACACATGCTCTTTGAATAAATGAATGGAGAAGTATCTGAGATAATTTAGGAGATCTAAATTATCTATATGTTTTCTGTTTGCTTCAATTTATTTATTCGTAACCAGGCTTTTTCTACAAAGGATTTAATGGGGCTGCCAAGTATATGTACATGAATTGAAATATTAATAATTGAGGAAGGCTAGCTGAAAATGAAAGAAAAATCTATTTAAAGAATATAAGATCTACACCTGAAACTAATATAAATTAGTTTCAAAATATAGTTGAAATATTGAATTTCAGCTATAATTGAAAAAGAAAATAGTCACAGAGATGTAAAGTACAGCATAGGGAATATAGTCAATATTGTAATAATTATGTACAGTGTCAGATGGATAATAGATTTATTGGGGTGATCACATTGTGGGGTATATAAATGTCTAATCGCTAT